CCGAAGCTGCGAGTGAATGTGAGGCTTCCGGGATCCAGAAATAAGCTGCAGCTGAGCAGTTGCACCATTCACGGGAGCTTCAGTGTTCTGACATCACACAATTTTTACTGAGAAGGAGTGTTATGTCTATAAGCATACTAACTGCCAAGGCCTTCTTTTATTTTTATTTTCTGTGACTATTCAGCATAGTGGGGAATTAGAAAACATAGCCTCTCTTCCTCACTTGAGTTGTTATTAGAGAGGACTGCATTTGTGTTAGTGAAAACAGCTTGGTCCTGCGAGTAAGGAAGTTAGGAGCTAACTCAAGGAATGCTGAGCTGCTTTATATGGAAAAGCAAATAGACAGTGCTTAACAGTGGGGTTGGGGGGGAAGCGGGGGAGAAGGAAGGAATGGCAGTGTGTGGTGATGAAGGCATCACAAGATGGGATCCATCTCTGCCAACATTGTCTGGCTGAAACAAATATCTTCTTGTTTAAGGGTAATAGACCTCCAATTGTTCACTGGCAGGTGGTTGAAATCGTGACTTTGTTTTCAACACAGTAACTGGTAATTTGAACAAGAGCATACCAATTATATAGGAGGCTGATTCTGTTCTTCAGCTGACCCTTTAAAGCCTACATAGTAAAAGAAGGAAGAGGAGAGAGGAGGGCTACAAAACACTATGGATATTTGAAAAAGACATAAGGAATAATATTTTATCTTTCTCTAAAATTACATACACTACATATGTATGCATATACCTAGCTATATAGTTTAAATTACTTTATGCCATGAGCCATAGACTATCTAATAAAAACCTATGTACCAGGCCTGAGGAGCCTCTTCCTGAACAGTTGGTCTATGAAATTCTAGAAAAACAAACAAACAAACAAACAAACACTACTTACTAGAAATACACTTCCGGTGAGGAGATGAAGCTTCGTCAGCTTCACGACTTTTCTAGGCATTGCTGTGTGTGTGGGCGTGGAGGCCGAGAGGACAGAGAACCAGAGGCCTCACAGCTAGCCGGCACCTCGGAAGCCCAGCGCACATTCTCTTTACCTGGGTGATGCTAAATCAGAATCTTCTCTTCAGGGACTAGTCCATGGCTATTTGGGGACCCCAGAATTCTTTCCAGGTGGTCTGGGGGAGGAGGCCTCACACCTGCCCACTACCCAACGTGGTGGCTGCGTAGCACTACAGGCTCGTCACATACACTTGCCTCAGCACTCAGGGCTGTATGTGGCTCTGCTCAGGCTGGTTTGGCCAGTAAGTTGGCATAACTGGTTAGGACTGTTGTCAGTTCCACTTCAGCACCCACCAGTGCAATGACTTTATTCCTCTTGGATTAACCAAGGATTTGATTAATCGTCAAGGATTAACCAAGGATGAACTGCACACTCTCAGGTCAACTCTTTGCTAGGTGTGAGGTGAGGGGCAGGTCCTCGGGAAAAGGACGGGACTAAAAGCAACCCCGCCACCCTTCCAAGAGCAGTCTCCCTTGGCTCCTGTCAGTCCTGCGCATCTCTCCGAGTACCTGGTTCCACTGGTAAACACTGATCTGCCTCACAATTCAGTTGATATCAGAAATCATCGGTCTTGAAGTTGTGGCTAACAGCACTTCAAGCAGTTATCCCGGGAAGGAAGAGCTTGATGAGATTTGTACCCACTTCCTTAGCAGCCTGCAAGAGTTGTCGTTGTGTGACCTTCATGGCTCCTCAGAGAACAAAACCAGAAAAAGGAACATTTTCCCTGGGCCTGAAATCTTAGAGAAATTTGTCTCAGAGACACAACGACAATATTGTTTAACCATGGTTGGCTACTCATTTAGAGTCAAGGTTTCACTATGTAGTCCAGGCTGTCCTCTAATTCATGGTGGTCCTCCTGGTCATCTTCCCAAGTGCTGACATTTACAGGAATCTACTATTAAACCCGGCCTTCCCCACGATTCTGATGACTCGCACCACAGATGAACACCCTTTTTACGTATGTTTGAAGATAAGGTCCTGGCTTGCAGCTCGCACTGTCCTCAAACTCACCATATAGTTCATGCTGGCCTCTAATTTTCAGTGATCCTCCTGCCTCAGCCTCCAAAATACTAGGATTACAGGTGGGACTCACTGCATTTGACATGGAGTGCATTCTTTTTAGGGGGTGGGGTGGGGCAGGCTGAGGATTATTTCTAGACAGGGTTTTTCTTCGTAGCCTTGGCTGACCTGGACTTGCTTTGTAGACCAGGCTGGCCATGAACTAACAGAAATCCACCTGCCTCCACGCAGTGCTAGGAGAGTGCTAGATCTCTTGGAGCGGGAGTTACAGGCAGCAGTGATGTGCCCACTTCAATGCTGAGAACTTAACTTGCTTGGAAGGAATAGTGAGTGCTCTTAACTGATGAGTTGTATCTGCTCAGTTAAAAACAAACAAACACAAACCCATTTTTTTATTTAATGTGTTTTGTAATGTGCATGTATGTGGCCATCACATGCGTGCCTGGTAATCTCAGAGGCCAGAAGAGAGTATAAGATCCCCTGTGACGGTTTTAAGCTGCTGGAGATTGAACCCTGGTCTTCTGGAAGAGCAGCCAGTGTGTCAGTGCTCAAGACAGGTGTTCATGCAAGGAGTCTGAGCAGCACCAAGAAGTTGTCAGCGTACACACAACTTACGTGCTTATTGTTGTTGAAGACAGAACATGCCAGGTGAGCACAGTAACTACATCCCAGCCCAGAATTTAGTTCCTCAGCGTTCTGATATTATACATGCAACAAATACAAATATTCACCATCCTTTATCTTTTTCCAATATTCTATCAAAAGGGATTATTGGGCGTGCATATATCATAATGAAAGTATAATCTAGAAAGGGACCTGATTTTTTTTTTCCAGCCCAAAGCTTTGGGAGCATCTCCACGTGGGATTTGTAGGTTTATGGCTTTTAAGCTTTGATTCCTGTGTGTGAATTGTGATTTTTCTGGATTTCCATCATCTGTAGAGTTCGTAGTCCCAATCCACAAACCCAAGATGGTCCCTATGGAGTTGCCCTGTTTCTTAGGCTCTTCTTCTCTGCCCCTTTTCAGTGTTTGGTCACAGAAATCTCTGGCAGGTTTGGGAACTATAGACCTGTAAACCATACTCCTTGAAGGCACAATTGCATTGTTTTTTTTCCTTCCTCCTTTTCGCCCCTCCATCTCAACTGAGTTAAGGTCTTGCTATGTATCTTAGGCTTGCTTGGAACTGGCTCTGTAGGCGACACTGGCCTGTAACTTTAACTCTTCCTGCCTCAGTCTTCCAAGAGTTTGGATCGCAGGCCAACACCACCGTGGACCCTGTCCTCTGATGCTGTCATTTCCTTTCATCAGAGCATCTGTTCCCAGGCACCGCTGATGGGACTATCACACTTTTTCCTTTCTGCTTCTCTCAAGCATTCCTTTTACTTCATGTGCTACAACTTTTGGGAAATCAACGGCCAGTAAACGCTACTTCTGCCTTCTTGCAGGAAGGAAGCACACAGGTGAAAACAGGTGGCATAAATTATAGCTCAACACTCATCCATATTAATTCTGGAGGCGATTACAGTTTGAAAGGACTTTTCCTCTGTGTGTGTTGTCCTGCATGTATGTTTACGGCCAAATTCGTACCTGCTGCAGCACAGAAGGCTGCATTGGATCTCCAGGAACTGCGGGTAGATGGTTGTGAGCTGCCTTGTAGGTACTGGGACCCTGACCCCGTCCTTCGCTGGAGAAGCAAGTGCTCTTCAGCGCTGGACCACTCCCAGGCCGCCACTACACTTTATGAGAAAAACAAAACAAAACACTTTTTAAAATGTAAGTGTAGAGCATGTATTGCTATGGAAAGATAGTCACAACATCCTCTTTGGCTTACATCGCTATCTGGCTGACGTCAATGTTGAAAACGGACCTGCGAAGCTGAAACGAATAAAGTTCTGTCTACTTGTCCCTGGAATCCACACTTCACAGCTTCGTTGGTAGCTGAACTGGTGAAGGCAGCTGAGATGGTCTCAGGCTTCCACTAATAGTATCTTGGTTTCTGTTTTCTGTTCTTCATGCTTTTCTGTAACCTACCAAGACCTGAACGTTTTGCCCGACGCACTGAGCACCGCGCGCTCAACTCAGGAGTTCGGCTTTTAAGCGTACTCGGGAGAGGCGCCGGGATCAGAGCGCTCTCAGCTGTGCAGCGGGGTTCCTCCGCCACAGTGCAAACCACTTGTGTATTCTGAAGGATGCTGAGGACGGGGCAGTCTGGGCGCCTCTGGCGGGTGACAGACTGCAGGGAGCCGGCTCTCCGGCGGGGCGAGCGCGCCTGGGCGGGGACCCCACCAGCCCGGGCCAGGAACCGGGGAGGTAACAATGGAAGGCTCCGCGCCGCCGGCTCCAGCCCGCGCGGGCGTGGCCCCAGTCCTGAGCAGCGGCGGGGCCGCCACCCGCGCGTCCCCGCCCTGGCGCCACGCCGCAGCCCCTCGGAGGCGCG